CTCCGGCGATCCTTCGGCTCAGCCTTCCAAGTAGCTGGAACTACAGGCGCGCGCTACCACGCCCGGCTCATTTTTATTTTTTAGTGGAGAGATGAGGTCTCGCCAAGTTGCCCAGGCGGGTCTCAAACCCGCGGACTCAGGAATCCACTCACCTCAGCCTTCCAAAGCGCGGGATGACAGGCTGAGCCACCGAGCCCGGCTGGGAGTTTTAACTGAGTTCATTTTTTATCGAGACGAGTACTTTTTAAAAGCGGAGGCTCACGGGCTCTCCCTCGAATCTCTTGACCCAGAATCCTGGATGGGGCGGTGTAAGACCCGGGAACTTTGAGGAGCCCTGGGTAAGCCTGAGTCACTCACCGCCCCCGCGCCTCGCGGACCCTGTCCCTGCAGTTTACAGTGTCACCACGAGAGGGTGCGCCACCACCGCCTGACAGTATGGACGTTCCCACGGCCAGTTGCTTTGAGCGGAAAATGTAGGTGGGTTTTGCCATGGGGAATGCACACCTGGCCCTCTGCCTACTCTGAAGGCGTTACAGCCAAGCGCGGCCTCTTCCGGAGAGGGGCAGAGGAGCTGGGGCCAGGACACGCCGGGGCGACCACTGCCCTTCCCCTTCTGAGCTGGGCCTTGCCCGCCCGAGGGAGGAACAGAGGCACGTCGGCCGCCGGGGGGGAGAGGACATTGGCAGGACCCTGCGCTCGGCCGGTGTTCACCCCTTCTGTTGTTTGGCTACCTGCTGGGATCCTCCCGCCCAACCAATGCCACCCTACTCGGGTGGGCAGGACGGAAAGTGTGGTGCCCACAACCACACAGTGTGGACACGCTCCGGAGGAGGGTCAGGAGCTAGGATTGCTGTGACAGGGACTTGCTCAGGCTGGGGCAGGGGGCCTTGGGGATGGTTTCCTGAGGAAGGAGCATTTGAGCTGAGCCGGATGACAAGGCATCGCCACCCAAAAGGATAGGGGTTGAGGTGGGGAACCGTGCGCTGGATAGGGGGACAGAGTGTGCCAATGTCTGGCAGAACAGAGCGTGGATGATGGCTGTGCCTGGGGTCCAGGGTGTGGTGGGCGGGGCGGGGGGAGAGGCCGGAAACGCAGGGTCAGGGCCACACATGCACCGCCTGGGCCTTTCAGAGCGCAGTGACAACATGACGCAGCCCTTGGTGAGGCCACACACTTCCCAGCGTGAGGATGGGAGGGGGCGATAAGGCAGGCTTCCTGGAGGAGGGGGCGTTGAGGGGATCAGGGTTTGTTTGATGCAAGGATGTTGCCATTCGGAGCAGCCCTGGGGAGGTCAACCTGCTCCTGAGCAGTTTATTCCAGAAGGTGAAAATCCTTCCGAAGGGAGGAGGGAGGGAGGGAGGGAGGGCGGGAGGGCCCCTGGTGGCCAAGGGCTGGTTCCGTCCCCTGAGCCCCGTCCTCTGCCCATCACGGCTCCAGCCCGCCCTCACGGCCCTTTCCACGCGTGCTCTGTTCCGAGCAATGCTCGTGCAGCGTTGACCAAAGTCCAGGTTGGGTTTTTGCAACATGCTGGGTTCTTGTGTTTGATGATGCAGTGGTGCTTTGGGGTTTTTTTTTTCAGGGTTCAGGAACCCTAAAAGGTGTGCTTTCTCCTCATTAAAGAGAGGAGGTCGTGGAGGCCCAGAGAGGTTAAATACCTCGCCTGAGGTCACTCAGCTTGTGAATGGGGGAGCTGGGTTTGAATCCAGAGACTTCTGGTTCCAAAGCCCAAGCGCTTAGCTTCCACTTTTGACTATTGTTAGGAAGGGGAGATTCAACTCAGGCAACTGTGCAGCCAGCCAGGGGCAGCCCCTGCCCTCCCCCTGTAGGCCTCAGCTCGGAATCTCCAGCACCCCAGGACTTTGGAGCCGCGGTGGGCTGCGGGGTGCCAGGAGGAACAGGTTTTATGAGCCCCTGGAATGAAGGGCCCGACTCCATTTCTTGACTGCTGACAGCTTTCAAGCCTCACCCCCCACTTCCCTCTGCCCCGTATCTGGCCACTGGTTCCTACCATGCTGGGATAACCTCACTCCGCCCACCCACTCACCACCATAATACCCCAAGCCAGTCTCTCCTGGCTTTTTCAAGCCATTTTCAGACCAGCCTGGCACGCCTGCCCTGCTCTCCCAGAAGCCTGTGTGGGCGCCAGAACATTCATACCCTCTGGGGGCGCGTGTGGGGCCATCACCTCAACATCCAACCAGATGCTGGCCTCCAGTCTCCAGTCATCTCCTCACTCCCAGATCTGCCCCCGAGACCCTGGACAATCCCTAGGGCCGTGGCCGGGCCGGGGTCTCTGTCCCCCAGGCTGGAGCTGGCTGTGGAACCGAACGGTGGGTCACCACCTCCCTGTCCTGGAAGTGGCATCTGGAAGGGAGGGAGACAGTGCCCAGGAGTCTTGAGTACTGAGCTCGAGCTCGGGGGTGTCCAAGCCTTAGAGGCAGCAATGCTGGCGTCTGCGGCTGAGGCCCGAGTGGCTTTCTGCGGTCCCGTTGACCCTCGCTGCCCAGGCCCTTGGACAGCCTCATGGGTCCTGGCGGTAGATGAAGCCTGGCCCCGAAGCCTTTCCTGCCGCCCGTAAAGAGGTGGAGTCTACTCCCCTGCCCTCCAGACTAGGCATCCCCAGAGCCTCCTCTTGGTGATATGGCCAGGAGGTCATATGGGCAGGAGGTGCCATGTGCTGTGTGAGACCTAAGGCTGAGTCTTGGGGTCTGCTTCCGCGTGCTGGATCGCGCCTTCTGGCAGAGTCACATGTGCTCTGACCTGGTCCCCAGGACTCCCCTGCCGTGGGGGGCCCAAGCTAGCCAAATGGAGAGAGATGTGGCATGGAGAGACACGGAGGCACCACGTCCTTGGGGGAAGCCCTAATGAGCCTTCCGGTCCAGCTAGCCAGGGTCTGAAGGAGCCTGGCCAGCACCATCAGAGTGGAAAAACCACCTGGCTGAGCCCTGCCTGAATCCCTGGCCCTGAATCCCAACCAAATAAAGCCGTTGCCCCTGGGGTTTGCAGCCCCTGGGGTTCGGAGTCATTTGCTGTCTAGCAACGGGTTCTCCAAACGCTCCCAGATTTAGAAGCTTTTCTAATGACGACGCTTCCTTTTTCCATTTAAATGATTTCAAAGCCCAGCCCACCTGACAGACACCAAGTTGTCCAAGGTCACACTGCGTCAGTGATGTTCCCAAGGACTGAGCTCCGGGAGGGGGTGGGGGCCACTCCTTTATTCTTTGGTCACTTATTGAGCACCTACTGTGTGCCACTGTGGAGGCTTTGGAAGCTGAGCACTGAGCGGGACAAAGTCTTCACCTTCTTGGAACTCATATTCCCGGCAGGGTGCTGGGCAGTCAACGAATACACAAATAGGATTTCAGCTCCTGCTGAGCACCAGAAGCAGCCCGGGGTGGGGTGGGGAGGGGAGGCAGAGATCAGGAGGGCCTGGGAGCAGGGGGTCGGTCATCTACTGTGAGGAGGTGGCATTTGAGTCAAGACCTGCAAAGGGGTCTGCAAGACATGCCACTCAAACAAGCATGCCCGGGCAATCCAGGCGGAGGGAAAAGCCTGAGTTGCCCAAGACACCAGGAAGTCAGCAGCAGTGGGGGGAGGCCAAGCACCGGACCACGGGGTACCAGGCCACGCCCAGAAACGCCGGGGAAGAGGCAGCCACGGCGTCACTTTGAAGCCACAGCGCCCGCTGCCAAGGACACCGTCTTGCAAAGAAAGTGACCGTCCCCCTTCCTCAAGGAGGGAGGTAGGGGAGGCCCACGGGGAGGTTGCCACCTCCGGCAGGTATGTGAGTAGGCGCAGGGCGTTAGGGACAATTAGTTGGGCGTGACGGGTTTCATTCAGGGATGGCTGAGCTGGCAGCGTCTGCAGATGGCTTGCTCACAGTGACAGAAAGACAGAAAGCAAAAAGCAAGCAGCCCGAGTGACCTGGGGGCTCGGGGCTGTGATTAGTCAGAGCCGCTGGCCGGCAGCGGGAGGCCAGGCCTGTCGGACGTACCCTTGCCTCCTGGAGGCCCCTGGCCGCCTGGCTGGAGGCCCTGCTTGGCGGGTCAGGGCGGCCCAGACGCACACTCGCCAGACAGAGGAATCCTGGCAACTCCAAAGCAGCCCTTCCCCGGAAGGGACCCAGGCCGGAAGCTGACCCGATCGCGGGGCCTGTTAAGGGCCCACGCAGCCAGGTGACCGGGCTCAGGCGAGTGTCCCAGGGGTGACCTGTCACAGCTGAGTTCTAGTGTCACATCTGCCGTGGATCACGGCGTGGCCCTCAGAAAGTCACTTTCTCCCTCTGCGCCTCAGTTTCCCCATCTGTAAATGAAGGTGGTTCGACCCATAAGGGACTGCAAGCTGGACCCTCTGGGGCCAGGCTGTGGCCTGACAAGGCTCAGTGGAGAGGACGGGACTCCCGGCCGTGCCACCGTCGTGTATACAGCTGGTGCCAAGGCCGCAGCCACCTGGCCACCGCTCCGTGCACGTCTGTTAGGGGAAACAGATGAACCTGCACGCCCAGGCCAAAGACGTCCAGGATCTTCTGGCTATTCCAGCGGAGGTGGGAATGTGGATACTTTAAGACATAAACCATCCCAGTGGCCCCTGGTTTCAGGAAGTTAAAGAAACGTCTCCACGCCCAGCGGTGCAGAGCTGTGCAGGGTCAGCCCAAGGGCCTTCAGGGCCTTTCCAGTTCTGCATTCTTGGGGGACAGAGGTGCTGACGCTGAAGGACCTCCTCAAACTTAAGTTTTAAAATAAAAAAAAATCAGACTCAAACAGTCAGTGATGCTATCGATTAAATCGGATGCTGAACAAAGCAGTCAGAAAAAGAACAAAGCTGCAGGGAGGACTTACCTGACATCAAGGTCGCACGGAAGGCCCGTATGGAATCAGGACAGATGCCGCTGGGGGCTGGGGGTGTCGTGCATCCAGAGTGTGGGGGGCGCGTGTCCGCAGGCCGGAGGGTGTCACGCGGCTATCGCCTCCAAGCTCCCCGGCGTCCCAGGCCGTCCTCACCGCTCATACGGGACAGGGACGCGGGTTCTGCTTTCGCCAGCCCTGCAGCGGGACAGTGTCCGCTTCAGTGGGGCTGTGGCTCCCGCTGGGTGGACCCGGGGGCAGGACAGAGGTGGGGACCCAGGGGCAGGCTCAGGCCTAGCGGGGGGAGAGTGACAGAACAGGGGCCCGCGGACAGCTGCGTGGCCCTCCAGGGTGTCGAGGCAAGAACCAGGGGGCAACGCAGGGCTGGCCACCCGCTCACCCGCCTGATGAGGTGTGACCCCCGACCCCAGGCAGATTCCCCCTCCTGCCAATCCCACCTCCCTGCCCCTCAGCCGCCCGCAGTTTCCCGCTACTGTCCATCCTTTCCTCATAGCGTTACGATAGTTGTTCAAGGTCCGTTGATGAGAGAGAACGTGCGACACTCAGTTCTTTGTTTCTGTGAAAGATCACACAGTGTTACAGACCCCGAGCCCCTCCGGGTTGCTGCAGGGTTCAGGATTTTGTTCTGCTGCACGGCTGCGTAGCACCGCACCGTGTACAGGCCCCACACTTTTAAAGATCCAGTCCGCTTTTGATGGACAGCAACGCCGGCTCCACGATCTTGCTGTTGTGGACAAGGCTGCCACAGCATTCGTGGGCAGGCGGCCTTTCCGTCGAGTGGTGTGCTTCCTCGGGAGCGTTCCCATCGGAGGGTGGCGGGGCACCCGCAAGGAAGCTTTCTGCAACTGCTGGGAAGGCCACCGCGCCTCCCGGAGCTCGCGGCAGCTCAGCCTCCCCGACAGCGCGGACGCCTCCCTCTCCCCGCGTCCTCGCCAGCACCGGCCGCCCTTCGAGCTCCTGCCGACCTGCCGGTGCCCGGCCGGGCCC